ACTGATTGGGGAACATGCATCGACCCCCAATCGCCCATGCATCGCCGACGGACCCAGATAGCCACCGCGCCCAGGAGAGTGCGGACTCGGTGTCGGGGTCCTATAGGCTATCTGTTCGCGGTGTATCGCCGATTCCAGCTCGATGCTCCCCCTCCTGAGACGTTCCTCCCGACTGTTGCCCTTCAGTTCAGGGGGTGAAGAAGGGTAGAAATTATACCAGAGATAGCCTCAATCAGAGGATGGTTTGAACATTAGTGATCTGGATGTTGAGATCGATTGTGATATCGATAGTGGAGTTGATAGTGAGGACGATTATAAGGTCGATCGTGAGACTGGTAGTGAAGTCGATTCAATGAGATCGATAGTGAGATCGATCGTGGGATCGCTCGTGCGATCTATAGTGCGATCGATTGTGAGATCAATAGTGAGATCGATTGTGAGATCGACAGTGGGATCGATCGAGAGGTTGGTAGTGAGATCGATGGTGAGACCGATCGATAAGAAGATCGACCAGGAACCCAGGAACCGCCTACCGAAATCGGTGGGAAACCCAGAACCGGGAACCCGGGAACTTGGAACCCGGGAACCCAGCGTGCGACCAAAATCGGCGGGACATTTCCGCCAAATCTTTCAACTTCCGCGAGGACCCCTTCAGTGCAAGCACTGATTGGGGACTAAACGTTTCCGCCGTCGGGGACGCCTGCCCCCGAGGCGGTTGCAAAGTTTATACCCCCACGGTGCCACGTAGGGTATAAGCTTTCCAGCCGCCCAGGGGCAGGCGCCCCCGATGGCGGAAAAGCTTCTTTCATACCGTTCTTCGCCAGCTATTCAATGGCCATCTAGCCGTCCATCTAGCCGTCCAGAGCCGTGACCATCTAGCCGTCCATCTAGCTGGGAGGAGGAGGAGGAGGAGGAGGAGGAGGAGGAGGAGGAGGAGGAGAAGGAGGAGGAGGAGCAGGAGGAGGAGGAGGAGGAGGAGGAGGAGAAAGAGCCGTCTAGCCGTGACCATTAATGACCATACCCTCTGCCAAAGTTGACCGTCTAGCCGTCCAGAGCTCCGACGGCACTCGCGTCCTTGCATCCTGCCGCGCTCCTCCTCGCCTCGGGCCTCTGGGTCCCGCGGGCGGGCCCCGGGGCCGCCGGCGGCGAGTCCGGGGCGAGCAGCTCCTCCCGGGGGAGCGGTCGGGATCGACCCCTCTGGTCGGCTATACGTACACGCCGGTCGTTGAAAGTAGGTATCTTTGGATTCCCAGATCCCAATCCACTTCGAGCGCCTTCCTACCTCAAGAATCGGCATGCTTTTGCTGTGTTTAAGTATTCTCTGGGAGGACCTGTACCCGAATCCGCCTTCCTACTCCATGTTTTTACCTACGGCTTCCGACCGACGTGTAAAGAATGACCTTTCGCCGCAGTGCCCTTTGGTGCGGGCCCAATGGGGTCCCCCGATCGCCGAACGCGATGCGGTAGTAGCGTGAAGTCGGGCCTGCCCCTCCACAGGGGGAATGTTCTATTTTTGGACCAGTTTTGAGCATTTTTAGGGGGTAACGAATGTGGTATTTTTGATTTTTCGTCCGACATCGGCCTGTAGGGGGACAGGCCCGACTTGATAGTAGCGTCTTGCGCGCTTGTGTTTGGTCCCCCCGCGGCCCCCCCAAAACGGCGCGCACCAAAGGCCACCCTTACCCAGGGTCACTCTTTCGTGAAGTCGATTTTGGGCCGCGCAACGAAACAAGTCACATCGTTGGATGTCCGGGGATTCTTGACGCTTCGCGTATCCCCTCCAGCATCGCGGAGTGAGCACTCTGTAGGTTCCTGCCTCTTCTGCCCCTGTCTTAGCCGACACCGATCCGGCTGTGGTACCCTGGTACTACCTGTCCGGGATAGGTCGGCCGCGCGGACTGGCGCCAACAGGGCGACTCTCCGCTGCCGAATGAGGAGCATTTTGCTTATTGCACGTGCACTTGCATTCATTGCATGTTTTTACTGCAGGTGTGCTGCCTGTTGTAGTAATGCGAGCTGGCTTGCCGACACTGGCGGCTGTGTTCACAAATTCGCACCGTTCCGCCGCCCCGGACGACGCTTCCGCTCCTAGACGGTCGCCTGGGAGCCGCCAGCCAAAATAGTATCCCAACCAGCTTCAGGTGTCGGCAACACGGTGCGCCTTGGGCTGCCGCTGGCCCCCCCCGGCCCTGGGAGGAGGATTTCTGAGGACCGGGCGCTGGGTGGTTCAGCCTGCAACGCCTGTGCAGCCTTTGGTTTTTCCCCGCGCACTGTCTCGGTTCCCCGCACAGCCGTTCGGCTTGTGCAGGTCGGCATGGAGTCTGGCGCCGCCCCGGCGACTCACTCCGTTGCCTCCGCACATTCTTCTCGGCAGCCCGTTTACTTCGGTTCACGCTGCTGCGCTTATGTGCGCTTGCTTGTGAATTTAGTTCATTTTGTTCGGTGCATGTGCAACTGCGAGTTTGTCTTGCGGGTGCGAGCTTGTCCGCCGACGCTGGCGGCTTTGTTCGCAAATTCGCCCCGTTCCGCCACCCGGACGCCGCTTTCGCTCTTTGACCGTTGCCTTGAAGCCGCCGGCCAAAAAAGTATCCCCACCAGCCCTCTTCGGTGCATGGACTTTGGCATGTGTGGCTCTGGGCGCCCGTCGGCTGCTTTCTCCTTCATGGACTTCGCTTTGCCACTGGGTGTGTGCACAAGAGGATCTGCCGCTTGCAGTCCTGTCAGCGACGAGGCTGCCCCCTCTTCACTTCGGCGCTGACACGATGCTGTTGTGTCACCTACGGCACGGATGTCGTCCTGGAGTGCCTGTCGGACCTGCTCATTTTTGTCGGGCCATATGCCGACTCACGCCGGGTGATCGACCTCTGCGTGTTCATGGTCGCGCCGCCGCGCCATTCTGGCTGCGCCTACTTGATGGTCGCCACCGGGATTTCCACGCCGCCGGGTTGGGAGTGCCGTTCCCGGTCCTCCTTCTGAGTGGCTGCCCGCGCGCTCGCTTCACTTGCCCCTCTCTCTTCTTGCTGCCTAGTCGCGGCGCGGCTAGTGTTCGGGCGGCTTTCGACTTGCTTCGCGAGCCCGCAGACCAAAAAGTATCCCCACCAGCCCTTCGCCTCCTGTTTGCCTCCCCCATTGCTTGGTCTTGTCTCTTTTCGCCTTCCCTTTCCCGTGCGCCAGTTTAGGCCGTCGCCTCTGTGCTTCGCCCCCCGACGCCGCCCGACCTTTTCGCCGCGGGCGTTCAAAAAAGTATCCCCGCCAGCCGTTCCAACAGCTTTTTCCGTCGGCGGCGAGGCAGAGTGGCTGCACCAGCGACAGAGCTGATCCGGGGCTTCGAGAAGCGAGTTGGCCAGCGTGCAGGAGACGGGAAAAGGACGGACAGGGCGGCCGCGGAGGGGGCAAAAGGAGGGGACATTCAGAGGCGGAAGACTCTCGACCTGAGCGTGCTGGCGCGGCCGGCCCCGTCGCCGGCCAGCCCCTTCAGGCGAGCTGCCCTGATCAGGGACATGTAGCAGCATGCGGCCCGGCAGTGAACCGCGTCCGTCTTCGCAGATGTTTCGAGGGAAGCGGGGGAGGAGAAGAATCAAGCGGAGGGCTCTTGGAGACATTCTGGAGGATACTTTGAACCATCTTGGGATATCTTGAGCGATCTTGGAGGCCATCTTGGGCTCATTGGGCCCTCTTGGAGCCACTTCGGGCCAAAAAGGACCCTCGGACACCCTGCGCGGGGCGGGTGGATTCCAAATCCGTGGGGGGACCTCTTGGGGCCATCTTGGACGCCTCTTGGGCCCTCTCGGGGCCCCCTTGGGGCGCTCCTGGAGGTCTCTCGGGGCCCTATTTGGAGGCATCGATCGTCTTTTTTGGGGGGCCATGTTGGAGGCCATCGATCAAGCGAGGGGACGGGCCGCCGATTTTGGACCCCCCCCCCGTTGGGGCCCGAAGCGTTGCCTCTTGGGACCGTCATGTGCCGCGCCTTCGGGGCGGGCTGGGCGCGCCCCTCGTGGGGCCATCTTGGGCCCATCCTCAGGCCTCTAGAGTCGAGACAGGGGGAATATTCAAAAATACGCAAAAAATAGTCCGGGGCCGATTTCTTTACCATTTTTGCCTGTTCGGGGAGTCTTTATGGCCTATCTTTTAATGTCTCGCCCGAAACTCCCCTGTAGGGGGACGTGCCCGACCCAGCTGTAGGAGGACACGCCCGACTTCAGGCTTCACTAGGGGAAGAAAAAGTGGCATAAACATAAAACTCAGAGGTCCGCGCGGATTTCTCGGATCGGCGCTGGACCCCCCCTCCCTGGCGCGCGGAGGCGCCGCCAGGGGGCCCCAGCGCCGATCCGAGAAGTCCGCGCGGACCTCCGAGTTTTATGTTTATGTCACTTTTTGTTCCCTTACTCCTACCCCGACGCGTCGATTAGCGAATTGGCCGTTTTCGGTTCGCGAGAGGGCGTCGCGGCCGTTATTTTTGTAGGTCCAGGTCCGTCGGTTTCGGTCCCGGGCCGTTTTCACTCAAGGGTTGTTTACTAAAGGGAGGTTTGTCCACCGCCGAGAGAGCCCCAAGTCAGCCACGCGCAGAGGTGGGCGGGGGGAGGGGGGAGGGCTTCTTAGAAGCACCCTTGCTTGTTAGAAGGCGCGGGCCTTATCCATAAAGGTAAGGCCAGCGCCTTCTAAGAAGCAGCCTCCTTCTAAGAAGCCCTCCCCCCTCCCTCCACCCCCTTGTGCGCGCCGCCAACCAAGAGAAAAGGCGAGAAGGCAACACACACTTTGAAATTACACACGATGGTTTTGAATGGTTTTGGCCCCCTGGGGGCCCTCCGGGACGAAGACAAACTCCCAGAGAAGCGATCGGGACCTCTGGGGCCGCGCAACGAAGCAGGCCACATCGTCGGGTGTCTGGGAGCTCAAGCGTCGAGCTCTTGCGCGGGAAGCCGCAGAGACCACCAGAGGCTGCCGACGACCGCAGGAGAGGGGTGGGCAACCGGGGGGGTCCACAGTCGAACGCGTGTCAGGCTGAACGGGCTCGAGGCCGAGGTGGCCGATGCGGAGCTGCCGCTGAGCCTGCCGGGGCAGGCCGTGCACAGGCTGGTCGCGATGGACTGCGGCGCGTTCCTGTCTGGGGCGCGCGAGCGCGGGGAGCTCTTCGACATCGTCGTCTGCGACCCGCCGAGCATGGCGCCCAGCGAGAAGGCGCGCGCAGCTGCCCTGCGGAAGTACGTGGAGCTGAACCGCGGCTCGCTGCAGGCGCTGCGCGAGGGCGGCCTGCTGCTGACGTGCTCGTGCAGCTCGCACATCTCGGAGGCGAGAGGCAGGGACCACCGCCGCTGGGAGCCCACCGGTTGGGGGGGCGTAAGCAGGCTCTTCCCTTTACCATGTTGCTGTTTTCCTCACCCCCGGAGAGGTCGAGGCCCCTCGTCCTCCTCCTTCTCCTCCTCCTCCTCCTCCTCCTCCTCCTCTCCCTCCTCCCCTCCTCCTCCTCCTCCTCCTCCTCCTCCTCCTCTCCTCCTCCTCCTCCTCCTCCTCCTCCTCCTCCTCCTCCTCCTCCTCCTCCTCCTCCTCCTCCTCCTCCTATGCTCCTCCTCCTCCTCCTCCTCCTCCTCCGCCTCCTTCTCCTCCTCCCCCTCCTCCTTCCGTCAGCTAGAGCTTGACGAGAGCTTCACGACGGACGACGGCGGCGCGGATGCGCCGACCAGCCTTCTGTGTGGACCACGTTCAGGCTCTGGAGCCGAATCGACGGAATGGTGAGGGGTGCGAGCCATCACGGGGGTGGGGGGGGGGGGCACGCCTGGGCGGTGGCTCGCCCGAGAGGCGCTCAGCACCGGGTGGCGCTCGGGCGCGCTCCACTACTCGCAGAGTGGCTATTAGCAAAGGGCCTGGATCCCCCCCGCGGGGGATCTACGGTAGTCGCCGCCCACCAAACCACCCCAACCCAACCCGAAGGCCCTGGTTCGCCCTCCATTTCCAGTGGGGGGGGGTCGGGGAACATTGAAATAACCGATGTGAAACCCGTACCCCCCCCCACCCCGAAACTCGGGTCTTCGGGTTGGGTTGGGTTGGTCTGGTAAGTAGTCCGCTAGATGACATCGAATCAGACACGTCTTTGGCGGACGCTTGCGAGTGAGTGCCCTGCGAGTAGCGGAGCGCACTCGGCGAGGGCCACCGCCCAGGGGTCGGCCTCCCCCCGATGGGGTTCTCTCACGAGGGGAAAGACCACCCCAAGCCCGACACTTGGCGTTTACTAAACGGCCCTGGGCGTTTACCACACAGCCCTGCCTTATTCGATTACTTCCTTGGGTGCGGTAACTGAATGGCTTCGCTTGTCGGGGTGCTTATTATAAGGGGTGGATTTTCTTCCCTCTATTCTCAGCGGCGGTGGTGCTTGCATCTTCTCCTCGGGGCATCACCCTCAAGGACCTGCGCGGCGCAGTGGAGGAGGCGGGCCAGCGAGAGGGCTGCAGCCTGGAGGTGGTCATAAGTCGGGCCTGTCCCTCTACAGGAGGAATATTCGAGAATAGTCAAAAAATGGTCAGGGGACACTTGTTTGACAAGTTTTGAGCATTTTTGGAGTATGGGTATTTTTCATTTTTCGTCCAAAATCGGCCTGTAGGGGGACATGCCCGACCTGAAGGTGGTCTCGCAGGCGAGGGCCGCCACGGACCACCCGGTGAGGCGCGGCTTCCCAGAGGGCGACTATCTCCAGACGCTGTTTGTCCGCGTGCTGGAGAAAAGTTGGCGGGGGGCAGGGGGAGGGGGGTTATGATGTTCCAACCCATCTTAGATCTGATCGCCAGAAAGGACCTCGGAGCACCACGAGAGTACCGAAACCCGAGGGTCTTCATGTGTCGGGCCCTGGGAGACACTCATTCGACACTGTTTCGACCAGGGGTGGACCTAAACGGTGTTTTGGCGATTTCGCGGGCCGTTTTCGTCTCGACTTCGTCTTGCGATCAAGGCGGATGGAAGACAAAACGAGGGACAACGACAACGAAACGAAGACGAAAGACACCGTTCAGGTTCAGCCCTGGTTTCGACACTGCTTCAACATAGGAGGGGGGGGGGGAGGGCACGTCAGGAGGGCGGAGCCGCCGGTCCGATCCGCAGGCGGCGCTGCCCCGCCCCGCTCCCTCCCTCCGGGCAGCTCGGTGGCCCCCCTCACGGGGCGAGCTGGCGCTGCAGCAGGCTGCGACCGATCAGACGGATGCTCGATGCTACGGGCGTCGCGCACACGCCGAATAGTGATGATAATAATGGTAATATCAATATCGAGTAGTCATAATAATACTACTCATACTAAGATTAGTAAGGTGGAGACGAAGATAATAATAGTACTCATAATAATAGTAATAATAAAAAGAAGACGAATAATAATAAGAAGACGACGATGCGCGTGGGAGGTCCTTGTCGGGCGGGGTTAGGGCGAGGATCAAAACCCGCTCCAGAGTGTTCCGGAAAGCTCTCAGACCGCTCCAGAACGCTCTGGGAGGGCCGCGGCGCACGATACATCCTCCAGAGCCGCCGCATCTCAGAGATTCTCGAATTGATGCTCATTCGGTTTATCCTCGTCCTGGCTTCGTCATTACCTTCCGGGGGCAAGGATAGGGGGGGAATAGGCATAGGGGGGGATGCATCGACCCCCAATCGCCCATTGATCGCCGATAGGGGCCCGATAGCCTCAACTTGCTCAGATATGTGCGGATTTGCGATCGGGGGCCTATCGCCGATCTATCGGCGATGTATCGCCGATTCCAGGTCGATGTATTCCCCCCTGTGCCAGTCCCTCCTGTCGTTGCCCCTCAGCCTTGCAGAAGCGGCTCCCAAAGCCTTGCCTTATGATGTTCCAACCTAGCCTGAAGCACCAGGAAGAATTTCGAGCATCAAAACAATACCCCAAACCTCGATGGCTTTCACGCGTCGGGCCCTGGGAGACACTCCTCCGGCACTGTTTCGACACTGTTTCGACACTCTTTCGACACTTTTCCGGGTGCTCGAAATTATTTAATCGCTTCGCTCATTCCGCCGGCCCTGGAGCGCTATTTGGGGCCTCTTGGGGCCGTCTTGGAGGCTTCTTGGGGGCTTCTTGGGAGCGTCTTGTGGCTCCTTGGCGGCGTATTGGGCTCCCCTGGAGCCTCTTGGGGGGGGGGTAGTCGATTGCGCCCCCCCCCCCCCCCCTCGGAGGCCACGATCCTCGTGAGGGGTGGCGAAAAATAGCCCCCCCTGGGGATCGCCCGGGGGTCAGCCGGGGATTGGCCGGGGTACTTTTCGTCCGGGCCCCCCCCAGGGGGCGCCCCGCGCGCGCGAGCTAGAAATATTGTTAATAAGTAGTTACCGGAGATCTTGGCACGCCTCTGGCCCGTGGGGCCGGCGAATTTAGGGATGTGGTCCTGAAGTACGATGGGAGCAACCTGCCCAGATCCCCGACGTCATGATTTTTTCATGACGTCGACCCCCCGAGGTCTCGACCCATTCCCTGGGACCAGTTTTTCGTCCTGAGTCGTTTTTTGACGGTCCCGAGGGCCGGTAAGGGCCCCCAAAGGCCAAAAATAATGAAAAACCTCCCGTCGTGATTTTTTCATAACTCGAGGGGGTCTGGGTAATTCTCGTTGCCCCTCAACCTTGCAGCAGCGGCTCCCGGAGCCTCGCCGCGGAAGCCTCCGGGCGAGGGGCGGGCCGGGGGCGCGCGCGGCGCCGCCGCCCCCTGGGCGTGGCACCGCTCGGCTGCGCGCACTTGTTCCTCGGCGGGGGCCATCGAGGAGCACGCCTGGGAGAGGAAGAGGGGGGGAGGGGAGGAGGAGGAGGAGGAGGAGGAGAGGAGAGGAGGAGGAGGAGGAGGAGGAGGAGGAGGAGGAGGAGGATGAGGAGGAGGAGGAGGAGGAGGAGGAGGAGGAGGAGGAGGAGGGAGGAGGGAGGAGGAGGAGGAGGAGGAGGAGGAGGAGGAGGAGGAGGGAGGAGGAGGAGGAGGAGGAGGAGGAGGAGGAGGAGGAGGAGGAGGAGGAGGAGGGAGGAGGAGGAGGAGGAGGAGGAGGAGGAGGAGGAGGAGGGAGGAGGGAGGAGGAGGAGGGAGGAGGAGGAGGAGGAGGAGGAGGAGGAGGAGGAGGAGGAGGAGGAGGAGGAGGAGGAGGAGGAGGAGGAGGAGGAGGAGGAGGAGGCCCCTCTGCGAGCGAGAGCCACGCGCGAGACCGGGAGGTGCACGGGGCAGGGGCGTCCGAGCGATGGCAGGCGGCGCCTCCCTCCGCCCTGCCAGGCCACGTCTCGAGGGGCCCGGGCCGCCTGCCCCCTCCGCCAGGCCACGAGAGGAAGCGCGAGCGCGCGACGACGACGACGACGACGACGACGACGACGACGACGACGACGACGACGGCGACGGTGACGACGACGGCAGCGGCGGCGACGACGACGGCGACGGCTACCCGCCGCAGGCCACGGCCCGAGGGTCCGTGCGGCCTCTTCCCCTCTCCTGCCCTTCCCGCGCCAGGCCGCCCTCTCTCCGTGGCCGCCCAGCGCCGTGCCCTGCTGCCGCCTCCGCCTGAGGGCCTCGGGCCGCCGGCCGTGCGCCCTGGGTGGGCCCAGCGCGGCACGCGCCCCCGGGTGCCGTGCAGGGCTCGCGGAGCCGGCTGGAGAGCTGGCGCCGACGGCGCCGTGGCGCACGGTGCGAGGGGCGCGGCGGGCCCGAGGATTCGTGACGTGGGCGATGCAGACATGGCCCCGACGGCAGCCACGGAGGGCGTCTGTCACCGCGTGCGCCTGCCTTGGCTGGGGGCGAGCCAGCTCGGCGTGCAGGTCCTGATTTCCTTTGCGCTTGCATCCTGCACGGCTCCTGCTCCAGCTGGCTACCCTTAGTGAGGAGGGCCTTATTCCATATCGCGACTTACTGCTGCTGTGGCCGCCGCTTGCTCTTGGGCTTCATTGGGCGCCGTGGGGGGCAGGCTTGTGGAGGTGCTTTTAGGCCTGGTCAGTAGCCCGGGTGACGGCGCGCGTGCCTGCAGAGGTGTGGTGGTTGGAGCGCGGGAGCCATGGCAGCCGCGCGTGCCCAGTGTGCGGCACGGGACTTGGGGTGCCCGCGGTGTCTGGCGCCGGCCTCAAGGAATCGGTTGGCGAGTGCGTGGGGCTTCGTGGACTGCGCGACGCCTGCGGCGGTGCGTGGGTGCCAGCCAGTCGCCCCAGGGCGTTGATCAGGAGGGAAGAAAACACACAGACATAATTAATCGTCGATTCCCCAGAAAATATGGGATTATCCCGGCAAAGCAGCCTAACAGCGATGTGTAGGAGCATATCTGGAAGCATTCCCCTTCAGATTCAGATGATAATCCAGTTGTAGAACTCTGGTGTTCTCGCAGTCGTAGTCGCATTCGCGATGACAGTCGCAGTGGCAACGGCAGTCGCAGTCACAGCCTCAGCCTCAGCCTCAGCCTGCCTCAGCCTCAGCCTCAGCCTGCCTCAGCCTGAGCCTGCCTCAGCCTCAGCCTCAGCCTGCTTCAGCCTCAGCATCAGTCTGCCTTCAGCCTCGGCCTCAGCCTCAGCCTGCCTCAGCCTCAGCCTGCATCAGCCTCAGCCTCAGCCTCAGCCTGCCTCAGCATCAGCCTGCCTCAGCCTCAGCCTCAGCCTGCCTCAGCCTCAGCCTCAGCCTGCTTCAGCCTCAGCCTCAGTCTGCCTTCAGCCTCGGCCTCAGCCTCAGCCTGCCTCAGCCTCAGCCTGCATCAGCCTCAGCCTCAGCCTCAGCCTGCCTCAGCATCAGCCTGCCTCAGCCTCAGCCTCAGCCTGCCTCAGCCTCAGCCTCAGCCTGCTTCAGCCTCAGCCTCAGTCTGCCTTCAGCCTCGGCCTCAGCCTCAGCCTGCCTCAGCCTCAGCCTGCATCAGCCTCAGCCTCAGCCTCAGCCTGCCTCAGCATCAGCCTGCCTCAGCCTCAGCCTCAGCCTGCCTCAGCCTCAGCCTCAGCCTGCTTCAGCCTCAGCCTCAGTCTGCCTTCAGCCTCGGCCTCAGCCTCAGCCTGCCTCAGCCTCAGCCTGCATCAGCCTCAGCCTCAGCCTCAGCCTGCCTCAGCATCAGCCTGCCTCAGCCTCAGCCTCAGCCTGCCTCAGCCTCAGCCTCAGCCTGCTTCAGCCTCAGCCTCAGTCTGCCTTCAGCCTCGGCCTCAGCCTCAGCCTGCCTCAGCCTCAGCCTGCATCAGCCTCAGCCTCAGCCTCAGCCTGCCTCAGCTCAGCCTGCCTCAGCCTCAGCCTCAGCCTGCCTCAGCCTCAGCCTCAGCCTGCTCAGCCTCAGCCTCAGTCTGCCTTCAGCCTCAGCCTCAGCCTCAGCCTCCTCAGCCTCAGCCTCAGCCTCAGCCTCAGCCTCCTCAGCCTGCCTCAGCCTCAGCCTCCTCAGCCTCAGCCTCAGCCTCAGCCTCAGCCTTCAGCCTCAGCCTCAGCCTCAGCCTGCAGCCTCAGCCTCAGCCTCAGCCTGCCTCAGCCTCAGCCAGCCTGCCTCAGCCTCAGCCTCAGCCTGCTCAGGCCTCAGCCTCAGCCTGCCTCAGCCTCAGCCTCCTCAGCCTGCAGCCTCAGCCTCAGCCTCAGCCTGCCTCAGCATCAGCCTGCCTCAGCCTCAGCCTGCCTCTGCCTCAGCCTCAGCCTGCTTCAGCCTCAGCCTCAGTCTGCCTTCAGCCTCGGCCTCAGCCTCAGCCTGCCTCAGCCTCAGCCTGCCTCAGCCTCAGCCTCAGCCTGCCTCAGCATTCGAAATGTGGCCTGGGAATGGAGTTCTGGGAACTCGAAGAACACGAAGTGGCCTACAGTTGGCTCCGGGCATTGAAAATCATGCCCAGGAATGGAGTTCTGGGAACTCGAAGACAACGAAGTGGCCTACAGTTGGCTCCGGGCATGCAAAATCATACCCAGGAATGGAGTTCTGGGAACTCGAAGACCACGAAGTGGCCTACAGTTGGCTCCGGGCATTCAAAATCATGCCCAGGAATGGAGTTCTGGGAACTCGACGAACACGAAGTGGCCTACAGTTGGCTCCGGGCATTCAAAATCATGCCCAGGAATGGAGTTCTGGGAACTTCGAAGACCACGAAGTGCGTTACTGTTGGTTAAAAATGGAGTCCCTGGATTCCCGGGGCACCTGTCTGGCATCTGCCCAGACTCCCCTGGTGAGTCATGATGCTCTCTTTTGACCCTACTACAAACCTATCAGTCTTCGCTGTTAGGTAAAAATATGGGAAGTGGGGCGGAAGACATCCCAGAACATATGGGAAAATATGGGGAATCCTGTTATTTGTGTGTATTTATTTGTGTGTTCCAGGGCCCCTTCAGTTGAAGGGAACACTGGGCCTGCAGGAGCTGGCTGAGAAGTGCCGGTTTATGGGGCTGACTGCGCGGGCTTGGGCGCGGTGCGCGCGGGGACATGCAGGCGGCGGCGGCGGCGGCGCGCTAGCGTTGTGGAAGTCGATCAATGGAGAGGAAGCGTGCCGTCAGATGTTTTCCAGATGTCTAAAACATGTTTCAAACATGTGTTTAAATATGTATGAACATGTTCGAATCATTTTCAGAACATGCTTTACACATTTTAAACACATGTTTAATTCAGTGATAGGACTATTCGAGTGTCCGTTGTCATGGCATCCACAACGCTAGCGCGCTTGGCATGAGGTAGGGCTTCCTTGCACCCTTGCCCCCTTGGTCCATCCTTGCATCCTTGCCCCCTCGGTCCATCCTTCGTCACGTTCGTTGGCCGCGCCCCGCTCGAAGAGCTTCGAATTGGGTGTCCAAGGCCCTTGCATCCTTACCGCGTATCCTTACTGCACGGGTTGACTGTAGCGCGCTTGGCATGGGGGAGGGGTTCCCGCAGGAACTCCTTCCGCCCCCCAGTCGCGGTGGCCCGAAGGCCCACGTGCGGCAGCGCACGCGACGGAGGGTGCTGCTGCTCGAGGGCCGGGCTTGGCTTCACAGCCCTCGAGCAAGCAGCAGCACCCTTCTCTCCCCTCCCTTCCTTCCTTCCCCCCCTCCCATCCCCCCTCTCTCCTCCCCTTCTTTCCTTCCTTCTCCCCTCCTTCCTTCCTATCCTTCCTTCTCCCCCCTCCTATCCCCCCTCTCTCCTCTATCCCCCTCCTTCCTTCCTTCCTTCCCCCCCCCCATCCCCCCTCTCCTACGCGCTCTCCCCTCGTCCCCCCTCTCTCCTCCCCTTCCTGCCGCGACTTTGTCTCTGCGTCGGCTGTCGGATGGCGAGACGGGACGAATTCTTCGTTGGGTACGGCTCTCAATTTGGTAGGACTGTCATTACTGCGCTCGAGGGATACCCGTAGGGTCTGAAGCGCATGCCTGCACGTGTACGCCTCTTTTAGTCCCATATCAACTTTACTATGTTCACCCGCGTGATGGCACTCGTGGTTTCGGGTCGGAGCCATCTTTATGTTGCTGCTCGTTTGTCTGGTAGGTGTGTATAGTTGAACTTCTTGCTCGTGGGTCCAAATCTTTCAATGCTGTTTCACGCCACGGAGACGTATCCCACAAAGCGCCGAGGAGCATGATATGCGTCCAGTAAGGTGAACGGCCCTTCCTAAGTCTTACGCCAGTGCTGTTCCCTACTGGTGGGCCATGAGTTTTCACAATGTCTGCTTGCTGGTGGCTTCCAGGTGTGCGTCGTGTTGCTTGCAACATGTCCTGACTGGGCCGTCATGAAAAAGCGCGTTCTGTGGTCGCTTGGAGGGGGGGGTGTTTGGAACTGGACCCCCCCCCTGGATGGAGGGGAGGGGGGGGTCGACCCCCCCCTCCCGTGGCGGAGGGGGGGGGTTTGACCCCCCCCCTGTTCACTTTCGTTGTTCCTGGGAGATGTGCTTGGCATGCGCGGTGTTTCGTGGAGTTCGCCCGTCAGTGCTCGCGCGTGCTCGTCCTCGTCGTCCCGTTGCTCCGCGAGCTCAGTGCACATGTGCTGCAGCCTGATATTAAGTCGGGCTTGTCCCCCTACAGGGAGATTTTCGACGAACATCAAAACATATTCAACACATTTTCCAAAATGATCAAAACGTATTCCAAAAATAGTCCCCAGGCTATTTTTTTAGACTATTTTTGAATGTTCCTCCTGTAGAGGGACGGGCCCGACTTACGCCTAATATGAGATCGCTACGCGATGGCTGCAATTCCTGTGTTTCCTCCTCCCCTTCCTCGTTCCCTCCCTCGGCGCATCGCCTCGCTTTGGATCGAGCCTCGAGAGGAAAACGTGGCCACACGTTTCGCCCCCTGGGGGCTCTGCAGGCCAGCGCGCGTGCGCTTCGACATCGAAGAAGCATCGCCGACAGGGGACGGGAGGCGGAGAGGAGAGGTGCAGAGTGCAGCGGCGGCGAGAACAACCCGAACCCGTCAACCCTGCGGGCCGCATGAGGCCAACCGTGCGCACGAGTCGATCCAGACACGTGCCCGCGCGGTGCCCCATCGCCAGTGTGAGATTGCGAAGGCCAGGGGAGCATGCTCGGGACCCCTTGGCAACCATGTGGCTGCAGATCAGAGGTGCACGCAGCGTGCTTTGCCCACGCTGCGCACGCATGCAGGCCCTGACTCCGTTGGCGGCTCCTCCTCCTGCTCCACCTGGCGGATCCGATCGGCTCTGGGCAGTTCCCCTCGACCCTGGGTCCCCCCTTCCCCATTGTGACTCCCCCTCTCCGCCCCGCCCCCGGAGGAGGAGCAGGAGCAGGAGGAGGAGGAGGAGGAGGAGGAGGAGGAGGAGGAGGACCAGTGTAAACCCAAGAGCCATCAACGATGTTGGAATACACCCTTTCTCCAAGCACCCTCTTCATAGGCCCCTACAACGGTTCATTCCCACAGGGTGACCTGCCTCGATGGAAGAGAACCGATTGAAGATCCTGAAGCATACCAAAACATTATTCTCGGTATTCCAACGCCATGGATAAACTTGACTGTTGCATCGTGACGATCCTGAATCGTGCCGGAACGCCATTCCTGGGACGAAAACACCGCGAATCATCGTAACTGTTGCGCCCTCATAGTCGTGAATCCGTCCAAAACGCAATTTCTGGTACGTCTATCATGGGAATCCGTGAAACTGTTACAACTGTTTAACAGGAGTGGTGCGTGGCGCTCAGGCAAGAGCCACATTTTGAAAAGGAACCGCCCTCAACCCGTGAAACTCTTGAAATGTTCAAAATGAATGTACGCGGCGCTAAGGCGCGAGGCACACTTTGAAAACGACCCGCCCTCAATCCGTGAAGCTCTTGCAACTGTTGACAACGAATGTGCGCGGCGCCAAGGCGAGAGCCACACTTTGAAAACGACCCGCCCTCAATCCGCGAAGCTCTTGCAACAGTTGACAACGAAATGTGCGCGGCGCCATGGCGAGAGGCACATTTTGAAAACGACCCGCCCTCAATCCGCGAAGCTCTTGCAACTGTTGGCAACGAATGTGCGCGGCGCCAAGGCGAGAGGCACATTTTGAAAACGACCCGCCCTCAATTCGCGAAGCTCTTGCAACTGTTGACAACGACTGTGCGCGGCGCCAAGGCGAGAGGCACATTTTGACAACGACCCGCCCTCAATCCGCGAAGCTCTTGCAACAGTTGACAACGAATGTGCGCGGCGCCAAGGCGAGAGGCACATTTTGAAAACGACCCGCCCTCAATCCGCGAAATTCTTGCAACTGTTGACAGTGAATGTGCGCGGCGCCATGGCGAGAGCCATATTTTGAGAACGACCCGCCCTCAATCCGCGAAGCTACTGTTGACAACGAATGTGCGCGGCGCCAAGGCGATAGGCACATTTTGAAAACGACCCGCCCGCAATCCGCGAAGCTCTTGCAACAGTTGACAACGAATGTGCGCGGCGCCAAGGCGAGAGCCACATTTTGGAAACGACCCGCCCTCAGTCCGCGTAGCTCTTGCAACTGTTGACAAGGAATGTGAGCGGCGCCAAGACGAGAGCCACATTTTGAAAACGACCCGCCCTCAATCCGCGAAGCTCTTGCAACTGTTGACAACGACTGTGCGCGGCGCCAAGGCGAGAGGCACATTTTGAAAACGACCCGCCCTCAGTCCGCGAAGCTCTTGCAACTATTGACAACGAATGTGCGCGGAGCCAGGGCGAGAGCCACATTTTGGAAACGACCCGCCCTCAATCCGCGAAGCTCTTGCAACTGTTGACAACGAATGTGCGCGGCGCCAAGGCGAGAGGCACATTTTGAAAACGACCCGCCCTCAATCCGCGAAGCTCTTGCAACTGTTGACAACGAATGTGCGCGGCGCCAAGGCGAGAGCCACATTTTGAAAACGACCCGCCCTCAATCCGCGAAGCTCTTGCAACTGTTGACAACGAATGTGCGCGGCGCCAAGGCGAGAGACACGTTTTGGAAACGAGCCGCCCTCAATCCGCGAAGCTCTTGCAACTGTTGACGAGGAATGTGCCCGGCGCCAAGGCGAGAGGCATATTTTGAAAACGACCCGCCCTCAATCCGCGAAGCTCTTGCAACTGTTGACAACGAATGTGCGCGGCGCTGAGGCGAGGAAGCTGCTGCCATTGTTTTAAACACTGGAGTCGTAAATGGTGAGGACGTCTCGGGCGAAACGCCTGGCCCGCCCTACAAACTGGCCTCGGGGTGAGGAGAATGAGTGGGGGAGGAGGAGGAGGCGGAGGAGGAGGAGGAGGAGGAGGAGGAGGAGGAGGAGGAGGAGGAGGAGGAGGAGGAGGAGGAGGAGGAGGAGGAGGAAAAGAGAGGAGGAAGAAAAAGGAGGAGGAAGATAGAGGAGGGTGAGGATAATGAGTGGAGGAGGAGGAGGAGGAGGAGGAGGAGGAGAGGAGGAGGAGGAGGAGGAGGAGGAGGAGGAGAAAGAGGAGGAGGAAGAATGAGGAGGAGGAAGATAGAAGGAGGAGGAGGAGGAGGAGGAGGAGGAGGAGGAGGAGGAGGAGGAGGAGGAGGAGGAGGAGGAGGGGTACCCCCACTCGCCCTGGCAGCCGCGGCAGCCGCAGCCGCCTCGGCACACGAGCTGGCCCGGCGAGTTCGGCGCGAGCGCCGCGCCCCTGCCCGCGGCGCCTCGAGTTTTGGTTTCCGAGGCCATGCGGGCGGCCGGCGGCCGCCGGGCTGCGCGGCGGCGCGGGGCGACTCCGAGGCTCGCCTGCTGCTGCTCCCTCCCTCCTCTCAGGAGCGAAAAGAGCACAGACACAATTAATCGTCGATTCCCTAGACAAGATGGGGAAATATGGGAAGTGGAGGGGAAGGCAAAAACCCAGAAGATATGGTAAAATATGGGGAATCATTTTGTGTGTGTGTGTGTGTATTTATTTGTGTGTCCCAGGGCCCCTCCCTCCCTCCTGCTGCTGCTCTCTTTCTTTTTGTTCCTCTCGTCCTCTGCCCTTGTCTCGCCTCTCCGTTCCCGGCCCCGCGCTCCTTCCCCCTCCTCCCCTGCATGTTCCCCTCCTC